GTCTCAATTGACTGGTTGCTAGATGGTTTGGCTTTTTTTTTGCTTGATATTTTCTTTCTTTCTTTTTTTTTTTAACATTTTATTAGGGGCTCATACAACTGTTATCCCAATCCATACACATGTTTTGCTTTGTTTCTGCTGGGGATTAAAATATATATATATTTTAATATACATATAAATACATATACATATATGTATATACATACATATATACCATACTATTCAGTCATTTCTCATCTAGGAAAGAAATGTGTTAGCAACTCAGCATAAGGGAATGTAAAGCTCATAGAAAAATCCCAATATCTTTCAATTCCATTTTTTCCCATGAACTTTCTGGAAAGCGCTGCTTCTCTCATCAGGTTTTAACTGGGCGGGGCGGGGGTGGGGGGCGAGAGGCAAAGAGTACCCGGTAAAGGAGTTGCCTTCAACCTCTCTGCTCGAAGCAAAGAAGAGTGAAGAAAATGAAAGACACTTGCAAAAGAAATCGCTCAAAGGGTTAATGGACCTCACACCCTTCAGCCTCCTCTACCCTGAAAGCAGAAGAGCGAAGTGATGCCCAACTACCTGATTCACATATTCTATAATACACATCAGTTTGAACTCATAAAAGTTATTTGCAAGATGAATTTCTATGTATCAGTTTGAGCCAGGTAAAATTACTGGGATTTGACTATTTTTATCTACAAAGCAGCAACATCACACGTTGCAACCTAATATATTTGTTTAATCTACAAATCTCTTGTCTTCCCAGAAAGGTATGACTGCTCCCTATCATATGTTCTTACATTGGCACTTTTACCACTCTTGATTTCCTTTTATCTTCAAAATACCCTTACGATGTTCCTAATGAAGTTATTTCAATTTTCATAACAGCTGTGAGAAAAACTACTTGTTTTTTTAATCTTTTTATTGGGAACTCTTACAGCTCTTGATCACAATCCATTGTGTCAAGCACATCTGTACATTTGTTGCCATCATCATTTTCAAAACATTTTCTTTCTACTTGAGCCCTGGGTATCAGCTCCTTATTTTTTTCCTATC